ATATCCTTCCCATATCCTTGCCATATCCCAGGATATGGGCGCCCATATCCTGGGATATGGCCATATCCTCTTCCATATCCCTCCCATATCCTCGCCATATCCCAGGATATGGGCGCCCATATCCTGGGATATGGCCATATCCTCGTCCATATCCTCGCCATATCCCAGGATATGGGCACCCATATCCTGGGATATGGGCCGCCCATATCCAGGATATGCATATCCTCCCATATCATATTCGATATCCTGGATATGGGTGAGGATATGGGCGTTTCCATATCCTAGGATATGCAACTTTTTTCCGACGAAGGGCTACGGCATCCCCTGCGAGAGGGTTTCCGACGGGGAGTGCCGGCCAGTGATGCGCTGCGACGGCGAGTACCTCTGGCAAAACAGCAGGTGAGTACCCCACGCAAGCATATTTGAACCACGGTCCTGGGTAAATCCATGCACCCACTGCTTTCCTGGAACTTAAACAAGTTTTAAGAGAGTGACGGCCCTAACGCTGCCGTGGCGCGCCGCAGGCTGGACTCTTTCGGCGACAAGTGCACCAGACGGGCGGTGAAGAACAACGACAGGTGCAGGAACCTTAAATACTGCTGGCATCAGGTGGGCATCGATGATTGCGGCTGGTGCCACGTGAGGGATCACCCCGACGGTGGCTGGGGCATCCCGTGCGAAAGGAGGGATTTCACAGGAAACTGCGAGCCCGTTGCCCACTGCCCCGGGGAGTACCTCTGGAGAGACTCAGAGTAAGTTGCTCTCAACACCACGGAGTTGGGGGAGTGGCCCAGGTGTCTCTGTGCATCTGGTGTGTGCCGGTGTCAAGGCACCAAAAGTAATTGACGCTACTTGGTTGGTGTTAATATTGGCGTCGAGCACTCAACGCCCAGTGTGCTGCCGTGCTCTGTTTGGGTGCCGGTGACTTTTCATCCCATACGTCAGTTGTCATTTGCAAGTCGAGCATGGCATGCAACTGAACGGAGCGAAAAACCTTTGTTGCCGTGCTTTGGCCCTGGCCTCTCCTGGGGATCTACCCTTGACCGTTGCGGGTCTTGGCGGCGCCCACAAGATTTCGTCAAGAAAGTCTGGTCTAAGGTGCATCCAGACTCCTCAATTGACAATGCGTTCGCTAACAGCAGCGATGTTCGTCCCTCCAATATTTATAGATCGCTGGCCCCAAAGTTGATTGATGTCGCTCCCACTCCCGACGATCAGATCGGCTGTTTTACTGCAGTTGGGCAGAGATCTGTCGAAATCATCGTTGCAGGACTACTGAAGCCGTGAAAGAGTGTCGCGGGGACTACGCGTGGCGGGACAGCGAGTGAGTGCCGCGCGGAGCGCCCGCAACACATTTTTGCCCGATCTCGTCGTGGCGGTGATGCGCATAGAAAGACTGGAGAACTCCACGTGGAAACGGGGCGCAGGACCATTTAAATTGAGATCAAGATACTAATAATGCACTCGGTACACGCGAGACACGGACTCAAGATGTATTCAACAGATTCTACAGTGCATAGGTGGTGCACTTTGATTCACTTTAGGCATAAGCGCCACAATTTTTTTACCCTTGCCTGCGTTGGTGCGTGTTGTCACACCACTCTGTTACTTTGTGTGGAAACAAGCATTGACTTACATTTTGTGTTGCTCAGGCTGGACAAGTACCCGTGGTGCACCTAAGCGCACTATTCAAGACTGATGCGTGAAATGCGACCATCGAAGACAAAGCTTTGGGTGTTGAAAATGGCTCACGTCACCCGCGAGTGGTCCAGATTATCGTCGCACCATGCATCCTTTTGAGACATAGTCTGTTTGGGATTCTGTCCGACAGTAGCAGACGATGCTGATTGGATTGACTTCAAACATGTATATTTGAAGAGGTGCAGGCATCTGGGTTGGTGTCGTGATGTCTTGTCATTTCATTGAAAAGATGGCGCTGTTCATGCTGTACTGCTCAGTGATCAGAGGCAATGGGCAATTTTGAGAAAGCGACATTGCTTCCAAAATGGTTGTCTTTTCCTTCGAATGTAATGCTAAATTGGCAGTCCGTTGTTCTATTTCATCAAGTTTACCTGCAGTGTGCTCCCAATGCACTGTTTGTCGGAGATCTGCCTATTTTGTGTCGTACATTGCAATGATTCCTCTACTTTACAGCCGCGTTTTCTTCTCAGTGTCCACCTTGCCGCCAATGCTTCGATGCTGCAGTGCATAGAGGAACAGCCTCTAAACGGCTTTCAGCTGCAAGTTTATGCTGGAATAGTACACTCCCTGCCCGAGCCAGTCGAAAAATGCCCAATTGCCGTCAACCCTGTGGATATTGCTGTGCTTCTTGCTTAGAACGGTTGGTGACAGTCGTCCAGGTCTGACAATATGTTTCACGGGAATGCGCTTGTGCGTTTGCAATAGCTGCGGGAAATGACGTCCAAGAGAGTCCAATTTTGAAAATGATTAGATTTTTGCCAAATACTATGAGACCTTCGCACAATTTTGAGTAAAGTGCGTTGAAGCGAAGTTTGGCATATTATATTTTAACACATCGACATTAAATGAAATCAATTCCAGCAAGCAGGTGCTAAATGGGACTAAATTGCGTAAATCTGGCCGAACAGCGCGGCCAATGGGTAAGTTCATACAGCCAGCACATGATCAATGTTATCGATACATACGGGCAACAAAAACGATACATGAATATTCCGCAGGAAATTTCAACAGTTGTCAATTTTACTAATGATAATCAAAAGCTATTCATATCTTCATTCCCCAAACTCAACATTTCCTGTAACCGCCAAGAAATTCAATGCAGGCCTTGGGTTTGAGTAATCGAGTCAAGAGCCAACACATGGGAACAACGTACTTTTTGGCCTATCAGCCGGTCGAAGCTTAGTTGTGGATGGAGTAATATGTACGTTACTTGTAAATTGCATGGTTTCGATGATTCCATGTGTCCATGGTGATGGGTCAGACTAATTTCTAATGGCCAGGATGTGGTGTGGGTTCAGATTTCACCTCGCCAGGTCGCGATAAAATAATGGCAACGATGGTGGAAACAGGCTTGTTATTTACCCGTTGTAAACAGAGATTGTATTTACGTTTGTGCGTGAAAGGGGGAAAAGTACGTAAACACAACGTAAATACCGGCCCGTGTACGTAAGACTTTACACATAGAATTAAGGAGTCCGGGGTGTGGCAGCGAGACGCGCTGGAGTGGGCAGAAAACGAACTTTTGGGGGACGGCGCCGTTGCCCTCGCTGAGGGCCAGGTGGGCGCTATGTTGAGTATGCTCGAGTGGCCGGAGGACTGATCGTTGTACAACGATCGCGTATATGTACGCGACTCTCATTGTGTAGCCAATGTGTCCCAGCGTGACGCAGAAATGTAAATACGGCCACAAAAATAGACCCTTCTGCAAATTGACGTATTTGCGCGACAAAACTAGAATGATCTGATGGCGTGCGAACGGAGCTTCTAACGCACAAGCACACTCAGTCTGCGGCGAATCTCTTATTGTTATTGATCACGAACAATGACTGATTTGGTGCAGCCAAGGTGCAAGGGGTCTTGGCCCTTCGTGAAGCGCCACCGTCATCACATCCATACATAATTTTGATGGCATTCGCCCCCTCTTCGCTGAGTGAGTCTCGTGTTGAGTGCGGAGGCATGATCTCTGGTGAAAACACGTCACACGTTGCATTGGTTACGGCATTGGCCAACAAGTATTGCGCAGATTCCAAACAGAGACGAAAGCAAAGAGTTCTGGATATAGGCCATCTTTGTTGTTCTATGGCCACCAATGTCACAGGCCCGAGGAGTGTGAAGAACTAAAAGTAGAAAATAGAAACGTAGGGCTAGCTGATCAGCTTTCTTCATGAAGAAACCATCCTGTGCCCTCGCACCGCGCAATCCTCGCTGGTCGCCCGCTTCTGGGGAGCAGTATTCATCGAATTCTGGTGATGCAAAAAATTCCATTTAATGCAGATCATTTCATAGCGAGGGTAGTGTCTTGCAAATTTTTCGGTGAAACTGCAGTCTACCGCAGATGCTACAGCATCCCAACAGAGTGAAAGGCAGGGGTTTGACCGTGCCAGTGCCAGCTCAGCGAGCACACGCCCGGCTGCACCCATGAGCGCCAGCGGCCACACCTTGCGCCCTGCAGATCCCCTTGATAAAGCTTCCATGGCTGCTTCGTATTTCCCGTATACTGCCGAATTAATGATGGTTACCTCCCGACCAGGATTGGGAGAGATCTTGCGTTTTCCTAACGCCCTGTTCAGCGCCTGCCCATGTTTTGATTGTTCATGTCTGGGCAGGTCACCCATTAATGTGTGACGGTGGAATCGCCACTCGCCACTCTCTGTTGCTCCGGATCACCATGAGCGCGCCGGCGTTTCTGCATTTTCAAGATCCCCACCGCAGTACCGAACATGGGATGTTGTGGGAGGTTTGTGGCCGCATATGCCGCGTGCAAAACACTGCCGTAATCATTGCCACACTGTTTCCGAGTCCTTAAGCGCCCTCGTGGTGCCCCCCTTTACATCACCGGTCGACCACCTGCCCCGCAGCTCCCCTCACACCCCGGGGCCCCATATATTCGAGGCCTTCCCGTACCATTCAGCCAGGCCGTCGTTTTGCGCCCGACGACTACTCCCTGCGACACCAGTGAGCTCGTGCCGACCCGCCGCCTTACCGCCGTGTCCCTCGCCACCGAGATGAAGCTTCTCGCGGGCTTGCTGCTGGCCACCTGCGCCCTGGCGCTGGCGTCCATGGCCGAGGTAGGTTTCCCCGATCGCCACGCGGTGATCTCAACGCCACCTGCGGCCTGTGCCATCGCAAGCGCTGTGTTCTGTTCAGTGCCTGCAATGCTACCTGCGCTCTGAGTCACTGCAATGCTCCGTGCGGCGATTGCAACGCTGTCTGCCATTGGTGTGCTATTGCAAGCGCGTGTTATTCGTGGTGTCGTGTCCCTGACCAATTGTCCGCAATCTCTCGCGCGAACTCTCACAAGGCTGGCACTGAAAGCGGCCGCTGATGAGCGAATCACAATCGGCACCTGATTGTCACCATGGGGGTGCGCCGTTCCGCGCAGGCCAGCACCGGGCCGGATTACTTCAAGTGCTATCAGCTGCCGCACTGCCACGCGCAGAACGGCCTGAAAGACTGCGGCTGGTGCTACAACCACAACCACCCCAACAAGGGCTACGGCATCCCCTGCGAGAGAGTTTCCGACGGGGAGTGCCGGCCCGTGATGAGCTGCGACGGCGAGTACCTCTGGCAGGACAGCAAGTGAGTACCCCACGTGCATGCAAATTTGCACTCCTTCACAGTCCTCTGCAATCCATGCATCCACTGATTTCTTGGAACTTGGCTAAGTTTCACGAAAACAACGTCCCTGACGTTTGGCGTGGCCCGCCGCAGGATGGACACCTACGGCGACAAGTGCAACAGGCGGGCGGTGATCAACAACGACAGATGCAGGAACCTTAGGTACTGCTGGGACCAAGTGGGCATCGACGAGTGCGGCTGGTGCCACGTGAGGGACCACCCCGACGGCGGCTGGGGCATCCCGTGCGAAAGGAGGGGTTTTACAGGGAGATGTGAGCCGGTGGCCCACTGCCCCGGGGAGTACCTCTGGAGGGACTCAGAGTGAGTTCTGAACACCACCGAGTTGGTGGAATGCCCTTGCTGCCTCTGTGCGTCCAGCGTGTGCGAGTGTGGCGTCACAACTTCGTCGAACCCACTTATTTGGTACTTGGGATGGAGGCTGAGTTGGCTGGCCCACTGTGGGTGCCAGGGACTTTTCATCCCAGCATAATGGATTTCTGTTTCCATCTTCAAGTCCGACAAGCGTGGAAACACACGGAGCCAAATACGTTTGTCGGGCGTGCTTTAGCCTTGGTATCTCTTGTAGGTATACCCTTCGCCGTTGCGCGTCATGGCTGCGCAGACGAGATCTCATCTGGAAAAGTCTGGTCTAGGGTGCAACCAGACTCCTCGATTGACAACGCGTTCGCGATCCCCGAACGCTGTCCTCCATCTTGCCGTCGCCTCCCCAAGGCTGGCGCTGTGAAAGTTTGATTGTCGCTCACTGACGGCGTCCCGTTTGGCTGTTTGCGCAGTTTGGGCATGTACGGAGACAAGTGCAGCCATAAGTGCTGGAACATTCGCTCGTGCCGCGCCCAGAGGGGCATCGATGGTTGCGGCTGGTGCCACTCAGGGGGCCGGGGGGAGGGCATCCCCTGCAGCATGTCCGGCGGGGACTGCAGGCCCGTGAAGGAGTGCCGCGGGGACTACGCGTGGCGGGACAGCGAGTGAGTTCGCCCGGAGGGCTCGCAGCAGAGTTTTGCTCGATCGCGTCATTGCGGTGCCGCGCGTTGGAGTGGATTTACATAGTGTGTTGGCATCATCCCAGTGGAGGGTTTTCCCGATGCTCGCGTGCTCGCACGGAGGTGTCTCCTACCCTTAACCGTCCAACCCCACCCTACCCTAAGGCCCAACCGCCCAATCCTAACCCGTCTCCGCCTCCGTCGACGGAGGCAGGAGGTGGACGTCACCGCCTCCGTAGGCCTGGTCTGGATTGAGAACAGTGTGTCTTGGTGGACAGTCTGCATTTGTTCATATCGTCGTGGCGTGCATGTGAATTAACATGTGTTGAGTTGGAATGCCTGCGGGCAACTTCATAGTCAAATAACAGGGAGCCGCTGGCCACATCCTTAACTTTCAATGCAACATTATCCTAACGCAGTTCGCCGCGTAGGCTTGTTTGTCTGGAAATTCATCCCACGTATCGCATTTTGGACTCACCACCGGAGAAATAAGTGGATAGATATGTAGAGCAGCGCATTCAGTAGGCAGGCTGCCTAAGCTTGCTGTGCAAGCGATAATATATATACGATAGACGAATGCGAGAGTGAGGGCATCCACGAGCCAAATGAAGGTTCAACCTCCCGCAGGCTTGCCACCTGGCAGGATTTCTACGCATTTATCCAACTGTAACGAGTGTGTGGCTGCATTTAGAGCCTGCGCATGCAGCATATACATAGGCCGGCCTCTGGATTCAGCAATTTGCCGTGCGTGAAAATCCATTTTCCGTTACATATTGAAACCATGGTAAAGCGATGCAGCATTCAACAGAAAAGAAACTGCCAACAACAAATTCGGGCATGTTTACGTTAACTTGTCATCGGCAGCATGCATTTTCCTCCAAGAGACAAATGGACGTTTTCGGAGCTCAAGCCAGCCATTTTTAGGAACATGTATATTCGTGAGCGACCCATAACATTACAGATTGAACAATTGCACATGGTAATGTGGCACAGGCCCTTGAAATGGACATCAAGATTTTCATAAGGTACCGGGTACATGCTGCGCACACACATGCAATGTATTTAGTACCCTCCACATTGTACGAGCGATACATTTTGACACATATCTGCAGAAGAGCCACTTTTAATGTGACGCTGCAGCAGAAATGCCATCCTCATTTGAGACTCCCCCAGGCATATGATAACTTTCTGGAGACGTTACAACAGCCTCGAGACCGCCTTGAACGTGTTGCTGCGATTTGGCTCACCAAAACTGTTGTGTGTGTGAAGCAAAAAATTGAATTACATTTTGTGTTGCTCAGGCTGGACAAGTACCCGTGGTGCACCTGAACGCACTACTCACGAGTGATGCGGCCATCGAAAACGCGATACCAGAAAACTTACGGAAATGGATTGCGTCGACCGCAAGTCGTTTAACTTGCCGTCGTGCAATGCGCCAGGTTGAGACTAGGGTGTTTCGGTCTCCGTCGAACACATGATTACATTCAATTCCAATATGTCCATTTGAAAGGGCGTAGGACGTTTTGGATTGTTGCGTTGCGATTTCATTTCATTTCATGGGTGAAATTGCCGTGTTTCGTGCTTTATTATTCAGTGCTATGGGGCAATGGAAACTGTTGAGAATGGGGCGTTGTTGCGGTGAATCGCCGCCGGTGATGCTTGTGTTTCGTTGGAATGTAATGTTATTCGGACAATCAGTTGTCCAACTCGACATCTATCATATGGAATGTGTTCTTCAGGGTACTGTTTGCCTGACATCTGCCTATTCCCTACTGCTCCATTGCAGTGAAACCTTTCCCATATCCGCGTTTCCTTCTCGGATTCGCGTCCTCCATCCTTCGAATGCACAGCAGCGCAAGTGGTGTTGTACATTGTGGATTCCTTGGCAGCCGGTAGCTACTTGCTATAGCCGGCTCTTGTGTGTAAATTATCCATAGGACACATGTTTTCCCGCCATGGAGCGCATGTGTTCCCTGCACATTTTAACTGCCACTGTCACTGGTAGCGTTGCCAGTCCGTTAACAAGATGATTTCGACTGCTAACGACAGTCGACGTTGTTAACAAGATGATTTCGAATCGCGAGCATCGGGTGTATTCAGTACTGAATACAACTCGTATTAGTACTAGTACTAACCACTCTTCGTGACACCACATAATGGCCACAGATCTACTGGATGGATCACTTGTCCAGTCGGCTGACGACGTGCATCTTTTGTACGTAGTACAAACTGCATGGGATGGCCCGAACAAGCCACGATTGCAGTGAAAGCAAAGAATGGAAAGAGATTTTTGACAAGTCTATTGTGCCACTCCGACAGTGAGTTGCGAGCCACAGCTTCAAGCGGCCTATGAATCGTAGGAAAGACAAACAGGGCGGTGAAAATTCCGAGAGGCAAGCGTTGGTCGATAGTACCGCCCTTGTGCACTCGCAAATTTCAAGCAAGTGACCTGTTCCCCAGGCTGATCAGATAATACGATATTCTGGGAGGCATGAGCGCGGGCTATATGGTGAATCGAGCTGGTTGTGTGGCAAAACTATTCTCTGGCCCAGCGGAACCAGTCCAACTGCTTGAATCGACGAGTGAAGGACCAAATATTGGGGCACTTAGCTCGTTGGCATCGTGACATCCGCTTGAGTGGAAGCGCTATGGCACGGAGTCCATCCTTATGACCTTGGGACTGGTTTCATGAACACCGCCAATTTGCGCACATGCCGCAGAAGCGGTGGCGTTCACGACACCAGCCCAGGATAACACACTTGGCGGCTGTGGTGAAGCAATGCCTTCCCTCTCGCGCCAAGCATTCCTCGTGGGACAAATCACGGACGCTGCTTTGCTCGGTCGAATGGGGAGCCCATCACAACCTCCTCGCCTTGAACTCTCAAGAATGATGTGCAAGTGCCCATCATTCCTGAGATCTCCTGATGATAAGGACACAGCAGTGCCTTCCAGTGAGTCATGACCGGCGGCCGAATCCCGGGACGGGCACCGGGATCGGGACCCGGCGCCCGCCTCGCGATCCAGGCACACAAGCCCCCTGGCCGCCGATTCCTTGCCAGCCTTCGCCCTGTGGCTCAGACAGCCGGCGCCGCGGGCTGCCAATCTCAGGCCGATCCTTGGCACACGCGCAACTCCTTCGTCGCTCAAAGCGGCAGCCCATTCGTCGCGAGGCGCCGGGGTGACGGAAAGCATCCCGGGCAGCGAGGCGCCGATCGGCGGACGGCGATTCGGCGCCGGCCATTGGCGAACGGCTCGATCGGCGGAGGTGATTGATCGGGGCGCGGAAGGGGGCCAGTGGCTTTTGTCGTTTTTTGGGGTTCCTGTTCATTGTTCGTCGCCGGGGTGGCTCCGGAGCGATCGGCTTGATCGCAACTTTGCTGCTTGTGGCGTGGTGCAGGGGAGAGGCGAGGATGGCGAGCGTGGGGATGCGAGGGGCGGCGCCCGCGAGGGCGGGTCGAGGATTGGCGGGGTCCAGAGTGGGGTGGGAAGGGATCCACGAGAGGGGGCGGCCTCTAGGCCTCAGGTGAGATTTCGCCGCGGATCGGCGAAGGTGTCGCCATGAGGTGCAGTCATACGCCCTGCCGATGACTTATGCGGGCCTGCTCAATCGCTGCGTGCGGCGCTAGGCGGACTCTGTGGCTGGTCTGGATTGCGCGTCGCGGGCTCTGTCGTTTGGGGCCTGATCCTCGGCCTCAGAGCGTCGCCGACGGGCGCCGGTTTGACGACGGCGGTTTTGGCGCCGTTCGACGCCTGGGACGTCTCTTCCTTGAAGGCAGCCGGTCAAGGGACGCTTGGGCGACGGAAAGCGCGAGAGGCCCTGGCTGAAACCGCCTTCGGGGATTTGCTGAAGGCATCCGATCGCCGCTGGCGTCGCTGGGCCTGTCGTTGGTGGCGTTGTGGCTTTGGCAAGAGAGTGGGTTGCCCCGCCTCCCGCGATGGGGCATGGATGCCGCATGGATGGCGCCGCTGGACCGCGGGGTGAAATGGCCGATCCTGAGTCGGCCTCTGGAACTATGCGTACTCCTTGGCGCTACGCACGGGTTCATGTTACTTGTGCGAGAGCGCCGAAGCCTTTGGGAGATAGGGAGGCGTGCGTGCGGTGGGGTGCGGAAGCCCTGCTGTGTGCTGCTTGGGGCTGACGGCTCGGGCAGACAGAGAAAGATTGATTGCTCAGTCGTCTGCCATGCGTTGCTGTGCTCCAGGCCAATTGCGACTGAACTTCTCGTAGTGAACGTCACCAATTGTCCCAATAAGCAGCCCTCACGTTCCAATTGCTCTCCCAATCCCTCAACGGATATTCTGTACTTACTGCCCGTGAGGAGCAACCTGAATAAGAACCCCCAACTAGCATTTCAGCTGGCGCGTCCAGCAGAAGATCATGATATGCAGGCAAAACCAGTCCCTAAACTTGTGCCAATGTCCAAGTCTGAACGCAAGTGTTGTATGGGGGTCAAGTGTTCAAACACCACTGAGGTCCCATGAAGCAGAATGTGGAGCTTGTGCCCTCTCCCCCACGATGCAAGGCTCTGGACTGGCAGAACATTTGTTGGCCAACTGTGGCATGTGCACATGAAATGGGACTATGTGTTTGCATTGGAGGAATGTTTAAACTTCAGTTCACCAGATGTGAGCGTTTGATGTATATGGACTATTGTGAAGGCCACTGTGTGCACTAGCATGTTTTGAAGCTGCCCGAAACATGGGCCAAGCCGTGCAGTCATAGCCAATGTTGGCAAGCCTTCTCCCACAGAAAACTCTTTATTTGTGTTCTTTTGAAGGTTGAGCTGTACGCGAAGAGTTGGGATAGCACACAATGGTGACACACACACAAGCACACACGTATTTTCCAAGCATCGCTTTGTACATGTCTGGGGACTGGTTTGCCGCGACATGCAGTAGAAATGATGGTAGGAAAGAACTTGACAGGATTGGTATAAGAAAAGAGTGACATATGATATTTGGAACAGAATGGGAGAAGAGTGACACCCACTAATGCCAGATGCTGAAGGGCGCCTGCTGTTCGATCCAGGCGGCCCCCCACACTGCCAGCACGCTCAGCAACAGTCAAACCATCGTTGCTGAGGAGGCCACCACCCCCACAGAGCAAGAGTGGTGCTGAGGCGCCAGACTATGTGGCAGAAACTCAGCAGGGTAATGGTGCTGGTCCTGAGGGCAATGGTGCGGAGGTAGGTTCTAGAAAACCTCTGTCGCAGCCAGCTGGCACGCAGTTTGCTGCTGGAAATGGCTCCTGATGAATGCTTACCTCTTTGTCTGCAGGTGTCCAGCACATACACCCCAGAAGTGAAAAACTACAGCCCTGAGTTTCTGAGGAGGCGCATTATCGTCTTTGCTGGCATCATCATCGGGTAAATACTTTGTTTCTTTTCTTGTTTGCTGTGTTGTGTGAATGTTGTTTAGTCTTGACAATCAGCTTGGATGAGTGGTGTGTTGTTTCGAGTTTAGGTGTTTAGGTGCTGGACCATTCCAACACAAATGAGCCACCCCACAAGTGCTTGGCAGTGCAAAGTCCAAGAGATTGAACACAAGATGCTGCATGCAGAACCTCAAGGAAAATGTGTTATGCAAATCAGGGTGCCCTTGCAAGAGTGCTGCTGTTGTCGTTCAGATTGCATGGATCATCAGCATGAGATCCTGCTGTTTATCTGTCCCATTTTAGCAGTTCTCCAAGTATGCTGACAGCCTCAAACTGTATATTTGGCTGCAGCCAGTGTTTCCCACTGTGACCAGCTGTGCAAATTCTCACTGTAGTGTTCAGAATTGGCACCAAGGGCAAATGTTGTTGCACTGTCTGGCTAAGCAATGGCACCACTGCTGAAGGTTGCATCTGTAGCGATGAAATGTGACAAATAGCTGAAAATGCAAGTTGCTCGTGCTGTCCACGCTCACTGAATCTTTGGCAGTTCATGGCAAGAACCCCCTTAGAATGGTAAAGTCCGCTTGAATTCACATATGGTTGCTTATGTATCCACAGTTATGAATATTGCCATATATAAAATGCACTTGACCTTGTACAGCACTTCATTCACCATCAATGTGGCAGGTACTCGTGCTACTACCTCACCCGGAACAGCCTGGGCTTCGCTGCACCTGTGATGGTGGCAGACAAGTCCCTCAACATGGACATCACCAAGATCGGCGCCCTGACGTCCATCTTCCCCATCTTCTATGGCTTCAGCAAATTCGCAAGTGGTGTACTAGGAGCGCGTACGCCTGCCCACATACTGCTGGGCTCGGGCCTGATTGCCACAGCTGCTGTGAACATCTGCTTTGGCTTTGGCACTTCCCTGGCTTGGTTCAGTGTGTTCTGGGCCATGAATGGACTGCTGCAGGTGAGTTAGCCCCACTTTGTCAACCTGAACATACGAATTCAAAGGCTATGAAGGAATCCAAAGGCTACCTCGTGTTCTGAACTTGATGCAGTGACTTATCAGAGAAGGAACATGTCATGCCACATGACAAGAAAGTGGCAGGCATCTGTGATTGCTTTTTGGCATCCCATGTTGCTTAACTACTGCTGCTGCCACGCTGTTGCGCAGAAGCCAAACGATGTTTTGCTGGATGCATCTGCACCGAAGTGTAGTGTACTTTTTGCCACTGGATCCCTGGCTGGAATGGCCCATCTGCTCCACTCATCCCGATCACAGCTGTGTGCTTTTGTATGCCTTAATTTGGATAAAGAAATGGCGGTCAAGGCTTCAAGGCTCAAAAGGCATTGTCATCCTGCAATGGCAATTCATTCAAGAAATTCAAATGGAAGTTGCCCTCCCAATGCATCTCAGACATCCCTTCTGGGGATGGGTTGCCACCTGGATCTTTGAATATGATTTTCCGGAGTTAAAACATTGGCCCATCGCACAGGTGATGCTTTGAATGCTGCCATGCTGACTTCATCGCAATTGGCTGTGCTGCGACTGCAGGGCCTGGGTGGTCCGTGCTGTGCACGAGTGTTGACAAACTGGTGGGCCTCGGGTGAGCGCGGCACCTACTGGGGCATGTGGAACATAGCACACAATGTGGGCGGCTTCCTGGCGCCCATCATCGTTGGCACTGTGGCTACAAAATTTGGCTGGAGGTGGGGCTTGTGGACCCCTGGCATCATAGGCGTGATCGTTGGCTGCGCTGTGCTGTTCGCTGTCCAGGACAACCCCACAGCCGTGGGGTACCCTGCTGTTGAGGAGACAGTGCAGGAGGTGAGGGGTAGTGCATGGTGGACTTGCCAAATTGCATTTTGGTGAAACATTTTTTCCTGTGTGTCTATGCTGTGTTTGGAAGGGAACAGAACAGCACTTGCCTGATTGGGGGACAATAAGGCCATGGTGTTGTCTGTTAGCTGAAGCTGTGCCTTTGGGGGTAGTTTAGTTGGGGGTTTGGGGCACGCAAACAACTGAACAGGTTGCTTTGTTGCTGGATGGACTGCAGCACTGATGGATGCCACTGTTTTGCCAGCCAAAGGCTGAGGAGAATGGCAAGCCCAGCAACAAGCCCAGTCTTCTGGATCTGCTCGTCCAGAATGTGCTGAAGAATCCCTACATCTGGGGAATGGCACTCACATACTTTTTCATATACGTCATCAGGCAGGGCGTGACCTCATGGTTTGTGTTCTACCTCATCACGGTGAGCTTCAGGGACCTGGTGTTTCTTTGGGGCATTGTGTTACGCAACTCTTGGATTGCATGCTGGTGAAGCATGACTGAAACTGAAAACATTTCAGCTGGAAGGAAGCCGTGACAGAGCCCCTGCAGTTAGTAGTCTATGACAGATGCGGATAGTGAACAAGCATTGCTTCAAGTTCAGCGATCGTAAGTCACCACACTGCTAGCTGCACAATTTGAAAAGGGCATCAGAAAACAGCACATACAGAGTGAAGTTCATTCACCTTCCACTCTGCGATGGGTAGATTGGCATCCAACGTTGCTAACTTTGTTTTTGGCACCCTAGTTCATCATTTTCTGCTGTTGAGATTGTGGCTGTTCCAACAGGCCAAGGGCGTTGGCGATGCTGGCTCTGCTGCAGTGCGTGTGTCAGGGATGGAGCTTGGCGGCCTTGTGGGGAGTCTGATAGCAGGCCGATTCAGTGACTGGATGATCCTGCATGCAAAGCCTGGGCAGGGGGCTGTTGGGAAACGAGTGCAGGTGAGGGAAATGTTCCCAGTCTTGGCAAATTGAGGAGGCTGGGTAAAAGACATGCTGTGTGGTCATTGTCATGTTAAGGATACTCCATGAATGCATGTTGTTGTAGTTGTTGTTCTTTTTGATTCTGAGACACCACATTACGTTCATGAGTCCAGGTGACAACCCCATCCTGGCAGAAGAGCCACAGGTGTGTGCCACCTGTGAAGCAACTGGAAGGCTGTGTAGGGTTCAAACAGCTGTTCGTCCCTAAAGGAGTCTTGTAATTGATCGGCGCTGATGGAATGTCGATGCAGACAGAGAAAGAATTTTATCCCTTGCTGGCAGTTCTCCTGATATATCCACAGCCTCGGAAGCCATTGTCTGGATGGGTCCAATGTTTGTCCATCTGAAATTGGAAAACGAGCACAGCATTCTGCCAGAAAATCTTTGTGGACACATTTGCTTGAGAGCTTCTGTGACCTTTACGAAAGCATGACCTGGGTCAATGCAGGTGCAAGTATGTTAACAACTGTTTGATTGCCAGCTTAGGAATGGACAGATCATTGGAAACTTTGCTGTTTGTGTGGATCATGTCCATACTCAGGCAATACAGCAAAAGCCCATGTTTGGTGGGAACAAACATTGGTCATTTTATTGCAAGTTGACACATTTTCAATCCTTCTGTGCTCTTTCGTGCCTTACTGAAGTCGATTGTGTTGACACAGTCGATGTGTTGTGTCATTTCAAATTGTCCTTGCATTGTCCTGTTCTCTGTGCTGTTGAGGGCCCTGAAGTTATCTGTACTCGTTCATCCGTTTGGAGAATTATCACGATCCTTCAGTTGTTCGTGTCCACACATGGGCACTTGGGGATAAAGGCTGTATGAGCCAGAAACTCGGTGCAAAAGCTGAACATCCTGCTGTTTGAGAGCATACGATGATCTGCGTGTTTCGGTGCACAATTCCACACAATTAAACAGATAAACAGAAAGATAAATATATAAACAGAAAGATCCACATATTCCCCAGCAATGAGAAGTGTATTGAAAAATGTAACCAGGGGGTTTTGCTGCTGTCCTGCAGGTTGTGATGATGTACACCGTGGGCGTGGCGATCGCACTCTTTGCATTCTGGAGCCTTCCCGGCCACCTGGCCTGGCTGCAGTGGGTTAACGTCTTCATGGTGGGCTTCTTCCTGTACGGCCCCCAGATGCTGATCGGCCTCTGCGGGGCAGAGCTGGTGGGGCCCGAGTCGGTGGGCGCCTCAGAGGGCTTCCTGGGCTGGGTCGCCTACCTTGGTGCAGCCAATGCTGGCATTCCCCTGTCCATTATCGTCAAGAGCTTTGGCTGGAGCTACTACTTTGCGGCGCTGATCGCTGCCTGTGGCTGCGCCCTGCTGCTGTTGGCACCAATGATGAACCTGAAGAGTCATGTGCAGAGGGAAGATGCAAAGCTCAAGCTCAAGGCTGCCTGAGCATTTGGTGTGGCTTCTTTATGCCTGCGAGCATGGTGCCTGAAATGATCTGAGGCTCCTTGGTGCCTGTGTTGATGGTGCATGGGCCTGTTGGTGAGGTCTCCTGGGGACCTGGAGGGCTGGTGCGCTGTGTAAGCCAAAAGGTGCTTGCACTGGCCGGTTGTAGGGACCTACTCGAGAGACTGTTCTGTATGATGATGAACAATGTACGGGGAGGAGATTGGCCGGCCCACAAAAAGGCCGCCACATGCTGGGGCGAGTTTCTTTTTGTGGATGGATGTATTTCGACACTCGTTTTTTTTTCCAGTTTTTACTCGATCCCGAGGTTTGACATTGTGCCGTCGTGGATGCCGCAGAGAAGGTGACTCGTCACCTTTGCGCACACCACATGGCAATACAATTTGGTTCAAGTTGGGGAATGGGGGTCTCGAGAAGATATTGATTCGAGGGATTTGTTGTATTGACGCATTTGATTTCGAGGGGAACTGAACGATGGGGAATATGACACGATCCCGCGCCTGCGACCAGGCCCTGTTGCCTTGAGAGCACGTGGCGGTCTGGGAGGTCAGTGGGTGTGGTATGGGAATCTTTCATATTCATGGGTGGCTGCGCGCCCTTGGGGTGCCAGTGGGGCGCCCCCTCGTTCACGAACAAAAGCACGAGCATTTTCCGCCTGGCGTGTCTGCTCGCATGCCGAAAGTGTGATGTGGAAAGTGTGATCCTGCCTGGAGGACGGAAGGCGGCCGAAGCACAAGCAGGAATGGCCGGTCGGTGGTTTTTGGGTGGATGTTTTGACACTTTTCTGTCGGAGTGTGTGGGGTGCACAGGTCGTAGGGTCGCTCGGCGGTGCGGAGGTCGCACCGAAATGCCACGTTGTGTAACGCTGTGTACCTGCCATGCGAAGTGCAACGCGTTTCCACGAGACTGCTCTGCTGAGTTGTCCGACTCGTCCGGAATTTTTCACCTCCTGTGCGAAGTTTTCAAGGGTCCGCTTGACGATTATTCCGAGGGTCTGTCTGCTGTGTTTCGCGGTTTGCTGGCTCTCCACACCCCGACGGTGTGTGTGGTTCCTTGGCAATGCGTTAAGGGTGCCATGGCATGGAGCCCGCAGCGTTTTCTGAAATCCCCATGCCCGTGAGCAACACCGTTGCGGTGGCAACTCCGCCAGTAGCATTCCACAGGCTGGACGAGCGCACGAATCTGAAGGCGCCGTTGACATCCGGTGACACAATTCAGTCACAACCGACAGCGCTGTTCACGCACTTACTAATCGCTCGATGGCAACACGGCAGACTGAAAGGGGGCTCGAGCGGTACAGGCGCCACGGTGGCACCGAGAGTTGATGCCAACAGCTCCCGTACCTTTCGGTCACGACGTACCGGAAAGCGTACCGTCCAATACACGTGCCACACAGCGCGCCTGATTTGGAAAGCAACGGTGCGGCCTTGGGGGCGCCTCACGGACTCGAGGCGACATACGGTTCCCGAGGCCCGCACGCCCCATCGGGCGCTCCTCACCCAACTGTCGACCCACTCTCAGCCGGTTTAACAACGCCCCTCGCCCGGCCTGATCCGCGTCCGCGCAGATCAAACCGGCCCCCGGGCCAACGGGCCCCCCTTCCATCACTCCTGGGCCACCCTCCCAGTCCGACACACCGCCCTGGCTGTTCACGTTACGCCCTCCTTCCTTGCGCGTGATGGGGAACCTTTCACTGACCTTGGGCGCTTTGCTGCCGGCCCACGGGTGCTCATCAGAGCGGCGTCCCCCCCTCACCCCCTCCCCCCTTCCCCCGGTGCCGAGCACCACACGCAGCGACGCACCGCCGGGAAGCTGCTGCCGCCTCGCGGTCTGAACAGGCGCCTGCGCTGCGAGCAGAACAATATTGGACTCCCCTGATCGGCCGGCATCCGTCCAGCCCACCCCCCCTTGGATTGATTTGTCGATCGGTCCCCCGCACGGGGACTGGAAATCCGGGCGGCCGTGCGGCTGCTGCGAAAGATGGCGAGCGGCGCGGTCGGATTCGGGCTGGGGAGGGGCCCGCTGCAGGACGAGGGGGCGATGGACATGGAGATCAGGATCGAGCCCAGGAGGGGACAGCTGGCCACCGACCTGGACATCATGTGGCTGCTGCTGGCGGCCTACCTGGTGTTCTTCATGCAGGTGGGGGCGCCCGCCCGTACCGGAGGGCGGGCCCGCGGGGTCCGTGATGGGCAAGGGGCTGACATGGCTCCGCCTGTGGCGCAGTGTGGGTTCGCTTTGCTGGAGGTGGGCAGCGTGCGGGCCAAGAACACGAAGAACATCCTGCTCAAGGTGCGCGCCAGCGTGCGTAACTTGGCGAGTTGCGCGCCTGAGGGTCTGGACGGGTGGGTGGGTGGGGGAGGAAAGCTCGCTGCATCCGCGACAGGCGCTGGGCGCTGCGTTGCGGGCGCGTTGTGTGGCGCGGCGTGTCGAGGGGAGGGCGGGACCCGCGATGGGCTTGCCGATCGGCTTGGGAGTGCTCCCGCCGAGCCCGCTCGTGTCCCTGGCGCCGTCCCCGTCGCCGAGGCGGGGGAGGTGCTGGGCGGTGCGGGGGTCGACCGGCGCTGATTTGGTGTTGATTTTGCGGTTTGGGGGGTGTGGCAGAATGTCGTGGACGCCTGCGTGGGGGCGGTGGTGTGGTACGCCTGGGGGCACTCCTTCGCCCACGGGGAGAACGGCATCGGCGCCAACCCCTTCATAGGGGGCACGGTGAGTGGCGGGAGTGAGGGGGGCGGCGGAGTCCACGGACTGTGGCTCCGCGTCACCCGCCACGGACGTTGGGGCAACGGCGATATCTAGGGTTCTTCGCGACGGCCCGGTCATTGTACCCCCGCCTTTCGACTCCGGGACGCCTGGCTCAGGAGTGCCGCGGCGATGCGACTCCGCTTTTCCGCGAGCGTCGCTGCCGGGGTGCCCTCAACGCATCCCCACTCCAGGACGCGGCTCGGCGCACCGTCCCCGGCGTCCTCAGGGCGCGTTGAGATCTTCAGCTTCTGGCGCCCTTGGCGATCAGAGGCCTCCTCGCTGACTTTGAGAGGAATTTCTGTCGTAATAGCGGCGCTGCCGGCCCGCCTTTGGCGACGCCAGGGGCTCCGGGCATCGCTGATGGTCGTCGGCCGCTGTCTGCCCGAGACGCAAGCCGGGTCAGCCGGTTCCCTTCCCCACGGCCCGTTGGGGCGTTGAGGGGGCTCCCGGGAGCCGTAGTTTGAAAGTGTGTGGCGCGTCGCGCCGTGGGGACGCGTGGCGGTGGCGGGGGCTTGCGGCGGGGTGCGGTGGTTGGTGCACTCAAGAAGGCGCGGGGGGCATTCTGGTCACGTTTCACTTGAGAGCTCATTCTTTTGCTATTTGGCGAGTCGACGTTTTTTAGTAAATGGAATATTGAATTAGAAAACCTTACGTATTATCAAATGATGACATGTAGAAAAGGAATTCATGCAATGCACCAAGAGCAAGAATAAATGAGCAAAGAATGTATGAGAACACCGAGGGTGAAAGTGGGTGTCGATTTGCTGACAATGGGCTTCACCCCAAGCCCCCCAGCGTACCGAATATCGGAGATGCGTTCGAATTTGATGTGCTGCACTACTTGCTTCGTGTATGCTTCGTGCATATGCTTCTTACCTGCTTCGCATATGGCTTGAACGTATACTGCAGATACTAGGTATGCATATAATGTAGGGCTTGGGTTGCATTGGATGGCTTCAGAGCGAACTTCTCTGTGGTAGGAATGAGGAGAGCACCTTCCCAGCCACAGTGTTGCTGCTGTGCTCCCAGACAACCCAAATCACACTTCACTGCCATGCATAACAGCTGGGAGCCGCTACTTTGTGCCTGTTCACAAATCCTATGACTGCAATTGTCCAATAGTCACACTGCGCTACTGTCACAACTGTCAGGCGATGTCGGTGTACATCCATGGTAGAAAATACAATGTGCTATCTGGAAAGTCAAGTGTCCAGTCAATTTCATTGCTGTCTGTGCTGTATGAACAGAACATGTTCATGCACAACAGCAAAGATGTATCGCCCGTTGAGGAAGAGAAGGAGAGCAGGTTTAACAATGCCGATAGGTTTTTTGCCTTTTGGCTCTTTCAATGGGCGTTCGCGGCGACCTCTGCCACCATCGTGTCCGGTGCGGTCGCCGAAAGATGCCAATTCCGGGCCTACGTTGTCTACACCTTTGTCATTACAGGGTTCGTGTACCCCATAGTGGTTCACTGGGTGTGGTCCAAGGAAGGGTGGCTCTCCGCTTTCAGGTGTGTACATGCGTCCCCCTGGCTTGCTCACACTTCTTGAACACCCTGTGTGGAAGCCAATGAGCCTTGTCTCGATTGCTGAACACAGGGTCTATAGTGGAAGGCCATGTGTTGACGCTCAGAAATTGGCCATAGCCAGATTTTTGTGGCCTGTGCCGCGACGTATTCACCTGATGCATGCACTGGCGGGCCCTTGACATTCGTTGGCTGCTGTTTGCACTTTGGCACATTCTTCGATGTGTTACGTCATAATGTGCAAGTTTTATTACACTCCATTGGAAAGTCGGCCACACAAAGGGCAGCTTCTTGGTCTCACAGTTCAAGAACATGAACACACAACACGAGCAGCACGAACAGCAAAAGAAGCTTGCACTCAAGGGGGTTTGCATAAAATTGGGGTGGCTTGTTGAAAATTGCTTCCGAAATCACTGTTTTGAAGCCGAGCGAATGTCAAGTGCCATTTTCCTTCCTTCACCAGTTTCAGAATCAGGACTGTGGGACGAAGTGAATACATTCGTCACACCCAGATGAGGAGGGTTGATGATAGATACACTTCGGCTGTTGTTCCCATTTGCACTTGCTCAGCACAAGCATTGGCATCACAGGAGCAGAAAGCGTTGGGGCAGCTGCTTTGGGTCAGGCAGCGGTGCAGACTCGTCGTCCTTCCTTGCTTCAATTTTATTTGAATGGTTGGTTTGAATAGTGCAATTCCTGGCTCCTAATTCGAGCAGCTGGTTTGGCAATTGCTTCGGTGGGATCGTCATGATTGACAAGCCATGCACAGACGGATGCAAGGCAGTGAAGAGTCATGTGAGCATCCACGTTGCAGTTTCTCAAACTCCCCATCTAAGCCACAACTTCCAGAAGAATTTGAACTCGAATCTAATCACATGGACCCAATGGTCGGGCCCTGATTGCACCGTTTGCTTCGAGAAACTGGCTGGCTGGCAGTTGGGCCACTAAGTGTGAGCTAGCAGCCAGCCCAGTGAATAGTTCTACAGAAAAGTGCAAGATAAAATTATGAAAAATATCAAGAGGATAATCAGGGAAATGTAAACGAATTTGTGAACACACAAAAGAACAACAATGCTGTGTATCCCTGCAGGGTCGAAGATTTCAGCAGTGGCGAAGATCGGCCTGATGTGCTGTTCGACAAAACGCTGGGCATGATAGACTTCGCGGGCAGCGGGGTCGTCCACATGACTGGCGGCGGGGCAGCCCTGATGGCTGCCACCATAATCGGCCCGCGTTACGGCCGCTTCGACAAGGACAAGAAGGTGCAGCCAATGGTTGGACAGTCGCCTGCGCTCACCACGCTTGGGATCTTTATCCTGTGGTTTGGATGGTATGGCTTCAACCCGGGGTCCACGTTGGAGTTCTACGAGCACATGTACGTGGCCTCAAAGTGCGCTGTGAACACCACGCTGTCTGCGGCGGGGGGCGGCCTCACGACGCTGCTTGTGGACACGGTCGTGTTCAACCACCCCCCAGACATCTCCCCCATCTTGAATGGTGAGTCCTTGGGCAACGGATCGAACGGTCAATCTGCGGGCCAGTCATGATCACCATGAAGCTGTACATAGCAAGGATAGCCAGTCCATCTGTGGACCAGTCAGCCCTTGATTTGCAACGAATACGACAGCCAAGGGGAAGAGGGGGCCGTCAGCTGCACAATTCTCCCAAGAAAGGTAGCGATAATCTGCTTGAAAAGGGCAGAAAATCGGCGAAGCGTTAGCCGTGGTATAATGACTGGGACTGGCGGTACTGCGCGCGGCGGACTCCGTGTCCATCCGTGAAACGATACGCCGCCCTGGCGATAGGCTGCTTCAGCGGCATTATCTACTACACGGCCTCGTTGACCCTCAAGAAGTTGCTCATCGACGACCCTCTGGATGCCTCCTCAGTGCACTTCTTCTGTGGCATATGGGGTGTCATCGCCCCTGGGCTCTTTGCGACGCCTGTAAATGTTGAAAATGTTTATGAGAGTGAGTTGCACACGCATCCTATTTTGACATTCATTGTGTCGTTGTATTGTGTGCTTAATGTACCTGTTATTGTTGCTATTAGATGTGTGCTAAACGTGTGGTGGTTTGAAAGTCGTGTTCGATTCCAGCTCGCACACTGTCCTAAAATGTTCCATCTTCCAACTGAAAAAGTAAAGCAGAGCCATACAGGAGTGCAAATATTGTCTTGGCCGAGACTTCTTTTCACTACTGCGTCAATTGCATTCAAACCATCGATTTGACCAGTTGTTTGTGACGACTGCTATGATATGACATTAGCACTTGGGTATTCAATGAAGAATTTTCTTGCATCCTGTTAGCAAAGTAGTGGTTACGCCTTTTGGCACTCTCGTGGGAACATGTGGTGCAAGGTTTGATAGTCCGTAGTGTTTTGTTGTCCCTCTCCGTGCAAAGCTGGGGTACCCAGGCTGCCCGGGCTAGTAGGCAGCTTTGGCATCTAGCTCCAGGGTGCATTTCCTCCCACATAAGCTGAGCAAGCCTAGAGCACTCTATCCATGTCGTTTCCCTTCCGCTGTGATGACTTGCGATGGGGAGAACTCAAGGATTTAGTTTAGAATAAGGCATGTGAACACATGTCACAGTGAGTGGAAAGATCAAATTGTGGCCGTGGTTTTCTTCCTTAGCCATCAGGTTTGTTGCAATATAAAGAAAGGAACAGAAAGAAACAGAACGAATAGCAGAGCGAATTGCGCTGATGGCATCCCGAATTTCGTCTCTACCAGGGCGGACGGACGTCGGCATCTTCTATGGCGGCGACGGCAGCCAGTTGGGCGTCCAGGTCCTTGGGGCCCTGTCCATAGGCCTGTGGACCTGCAGCATCAGCTGCGTCATGTTCCTCACCCTGCGGGCCTTCGGCCTCCTGCGCGTGTCCCAGGACCAGGAGCTCACTGGGCTGGATATCTCGCGGCACGGCGGCGCGGCATTCACCTACGGCGGGGAGGACCCCGTCAGCGTGGCCAGCACAGCCCCAGGGGGGGCGATGTCACCGATGAACAGCGTGCTGCCGGGCGCCAAGCGGAGGTGATCGACCAACAACATAGGCAGGGTCCCTGTCAATCGATCCAGGAGAGCGGGCGGGGGCTGGGGCGGTTTCAGCTGCGCGGCACGCCACCGGCCTGGCGGCTGGATTTTGACTTGGCCGGCTGCGCAGCTGCTAGCTGTGTGGGAGTTTGGGTGTATGTGTAGGGGGAGGGGCGTGTGGGAAGGCGGTCGGGGTGCGCGGCCGCGTGATTGGGGG